GTGATTATTGTTTTTTTAATATATCATGATTTTGTCACAACAAAATGATCGACACATGCGTCAAATTGGCCCATATGATGACGATCGACAAAATGAAACTTAAAGCACTATAAAATAAATAAAACTATCGACCAATTACAATAATTTAGCCACTATTTGAATCAAAAAAATTATTTAATAATAAAATCTTGTATATAAAACATATCAGATATTGAAAGATATCGATATTTACGTACAAACAATTTTTTTATCATCATCCCTATACAATAATTTACAATTAAATTATGATTAATATTTAATGTTTTTACACATCGTACTAATTCACATAATCAACTTTCTCACATAATCATCTTTCATTAAAAAATTTTATTAATCATTAAATACATAGTACCTAATGTAATTTATTTTAACATCTAAAAAATAGAGCAAAAAAATATAACAGAAAATACAATATTAATAATACCTACAAGTAATCCTATATATAAATGTTCATAACGTCAAAGCCAATAGGCATGCTTATACGTGCGTAAAGTGCACATATCAACAATAAAACGTAAATTGAATAAATCTTTTAGAACAATTAAACCTTATTACAGTAATAAACTATAAACTAAGTAATAATCATTGAAGTGTAATTAACCAAAGTGAGAATATATTTTGAATTTAAAAGTATGTAGTAATGTCATAATTTTTTAAAAAAAGATTTTGAGTTGCAACCTAAAGTGCATATCTTCCACTATGACTTTCAGTGACATTAATTAATTCGGAAATAGATTTTTGCAAAAGAGCATATTCGTTATCTCTCGGGATGCATAGCTAAAAATATGTATAAAAGAATAATTAATAAATTGAAATCAAATAAAGTAGTAATAGTTTATTCATCTTACCTCGCCTATGTCATAAATATGAACACGCCCATCAGAAGATCCAATTGCTGTCTTTCTTCCTTCTTTATCCCATTGAATCTTATTTAATGCCTTGCCTTGACCAACTTGAGTATTTACAATGGGTACCTACCAATATTATTATTGTTGTTAGTTATCGTGTGATTATTAGCTTTAACATAAAATTGTATAATGAATGAATGTAGAAAATTACCTCAGTATCAACATTCAAGTTCCATATAGAGAATTTTCCTGTACCGTCAACTGAGGCAAACAGCGCTGGATGACAAGGTGACCATTTAACATCATAAACATAATCGTCTGATCCTTCAAAGGAATGTAACGGAGCGATGACTTGCGCAGATGTTGATGGTTTTGAAACAGACTTTTTTTTTTAAAAAAAAAAATAGACATAAATAATCAATAATCAATAATTTTGATTTAATTTACAAATAATTTAAATTAATTTCAAATACTTTAGCTCTCCATAATTTCACAGTCCAATCAACAGAAGATGTCAAAAACAAGTCAGAAAAGTCGACAGGACCAAAAAGAGGATGAAAGTGAAGACCAGTGATTGGACCCCAATGACCTCTGTAAGTGTCATATTGATTAATACCGGCTTTGCTAAAAATTCAAAAAAAAAATAATTAGAATAAAGTTTTTTTTTTATGTAATGATGAAAAAGGATCAAAATTATTTAATATTCACCCCCAAGCACCACCATATCGATTGGCTTGATAAACAACACCTTCTTCTGTTCCAAC